ATCTGTGTGTCTCATGGAGAGCAAGCTGGGGTATGTGAAAAAAGACTAATTCCTAAATTGTATATGGCCAATAAAGTGATCTGATCTTAAAACAACATATTCTGGGGATTTTAAAATCCAGAGCTTTGATTTTTGTTTCGTTTTGTTCATGCCATAGATCTTGTGGGAAATGACTTGTGTCAGCTTTTCTTTATCGAAAAAGACAATTTTCCACTTTCTTTGCAACTGGGTGCGCACTTTGCAATTATTTTCAAGTTCACTTTTAAATCTTAAAAGAGTGGTGATTATTAAATATTACAGTAAATTTTACTGTTGTGGTGTTTGGGGTTCGTATGCCAAGTCTCTCCTATTATGAATTGCACCTCTTTTAACTTGGTTAAAATTCCATGATCTCCCTTGCTGGTCTCATGAACCAACAACCTAATCCGGACACCGTATTTCATTGTAATCACTCATATATACCCACAGTAAAGCGCAGCGTCTTCTTTATGCATGGGAAGAATAAAAATGTCAGTGAAACCACGTTGATTCATTCGCTAACCCCTAAGGATATGAGTTGAGAAATTTTGAGGTTTCCTTTAAGATGTTTCCAGTTAATTCAGTGAAGCGTTAAGTTTAAGGAATACATTTTACGTTATGAAATTTTGTCTGTGCTCACACCAATGCGAGAACCGATTAACACAAAACAAAGCACCCGGTGAATTAGATAGCATAATGTAAAATCAGATTAAAATCTTTTGACGTATTGACCAACACAAGGCTCGATACATATATAAATTATATATTCAAGTAGATCAGTGAATCAGAGTGTGGGTCTGATACAGCAGAAAATCAGCTCGATCGATCGACGGCGGTCAATGCCAAAAGCAAGTCTCGGACGGACATCTAATTACTTGCGCTTCAGCAGAACCCACCTCGATTTTTAAACAGAACAGACACATATGTGAAGAGAGACGGTTAACAGCTGGAAAACCTCGTCGTGTATAGATATTATTGCAAGATATTCTCTTTTCACCTTGTTCTGTTATGTTCTTAAATTTGACTGAGAAAAAATAAGAAACTAATTTATCATTTATAAACAATAAATTAACAATAAGCACAAGAAATGTGTTTTGGGAAGTACAGACTATAACGTAATACCAACAATATACGTTTTGTTTGGTTCAGTTGTGAACAACCAGATTTGTAACTTGTATTCTCGTTTTCTCACTAAAATATGTTTTTGGAAAACTGAAGGAGAGAAACAAAACTTCAAAATTGTCCTGCAAGAAAATCAGGCCTGTTTTAGGAATGAATATAATCTCGTTATAAAAAAAAATAATTAAAACAACAGACGTCAATTGTTGGACCTTCTAGAGATGGTTGTCTCAATCAGCATAGTTCAACTGATGTAGACCTTATTCCCAGCATGCCTGCAACCGGCACCGTACTCCCAGAATTCTCCGCGTCAAAGTCACGGTTGATCAAGATGGCTGACAGGCTTGGTAAGGCTGTGTGTTTGCCATTCATAAAATGAAATGTATGCTATTTTTTGTTTAGTATTTTGTCTGTATCGCCGTAGTAAAGATAACATGCACTTGGATAATGTTGCTGAACGAATATTTGACGTAGTAGCATATAAATGCTGCTCCAAATGCGAGGCCCTGTCGGAACCTGTTGTCTTCCGAGTCAAGTCAAGGACTTCGCTCGTCTTCGTTTTAATGCC